CGCTTGCATTATGCATGGTTGCTTGCATTATGCATGGACTAATAAAATATGACAGACGTCTGCTTACTTTTGGTCTGATCACAATCAGCTTGATCCAGCAAAGCGCACACACTTGGTTTCAAGCACATTTTCAAGTCCTAATGGACTTAATGGGATTTGACCCTCCAGCCCCAGCCACCGCCTCCTGGACACTTTTGGTCTGATTACCCAGCTGCTCTCTGCATTCACGCAGCAAGCCAATTGCCAAGACACTTAAATAAACCTTTACAGAAATGTTTTCAGAGGCTGCAGCTGGCGGAGCCAGGGCTAAACACCGGTCACAGCCTCCGGAGAGCACAGCAATGCGACCTTCAGGAATCTTTGGCTTTCTAAGGCTTTTAAGTAGCCATTCTGCCCTGTAACCACAGATTTAACAGAAATTTAACCAGCTGATTGGAAACCGCTAGCTCCTGATGGATGCTTGGCATCAGGACAGCACCTTGCGTGAAGCCAGCCAGCCTGGATTGGGAAACATGGATAAACTGATTTATCACAGCCAGCCAGAAGTGACTGGAGTTTCACATAACATGCTTGAAGGAGCAGCGACTGCAAGCTTTCACAAAGCTTTTGGGCTATTTGTTGTTCCCTTCTGCTCTATTTTGAGTGCTCTCCCCAGCATAGCACAGGTGTAGACCCCCACTGGATGGTGTTTCTGTCAGTTCTGCAACAGCTCAGGTGTCCCCCTGAAGAAGTGACAGGTTCTTCAGGGTCTCCCAGGAGAAGCGATGACTGGAACCAGTCAAATTAGCTGCTCCTCCTGTTGTACTACTGGCCACAAGGCCTATGGAAAGAGCAAAGGCAAAACCTTGTCCCAATAGTAGGACCACAGCCAAGACACCCAAGGAGGCCCACACTGAGAAATGGAAGTGGAGCCTCTGAAGGGCACTTTTTCTTCCTCCCCACCTTTCTGATGCCTCAAGGCCAGACCCCCTTGGCTGGGACCCTATTCCCTTTTAGCAGTGTAGGAGGTGGCAATACGTAGACACATAAATGAGCCCTCCTACATTCTTACACGTACAGCCAGCGTCCCACTAATTGTCCCAGTCCTTTTGCAACATCACCCGCCAACAGGGAGAAGCCAGCAGGAAGGTAGCTAATGTGCAAAAGCCAAATAAATCTTTCTTATCTCCCATAGCAGTGGGTGCAAAAATGAATCTCCCATTGAGACATGGGCTCACAACACCGACTTGTCTCCTCTTGATGTCAGGAGGGAAGACGATTACATTGCTAGTTTAAAGCAGATCCCCTCTTACTCCAGTGTTTGTCAGATTGGCCAGGTCTTGAACCCCATGGGGTTGGGTGCTCTAAAATGCTTACATGAAGGACCTTCAAAAACTCCCTAACAGGAAAAGCACTGCAGTCCCCTTGAAACTTGCAGGGGGTAGTGAAGAATAATAGGTTGTTGATATCAAACCCCTCTCACTACTTTGAAATCCCACATAGAGACCTATGCATTTTGCAAGTCTGTCCCAGCACATGCTCAAAGGCAGGAGGGGACAGTAAGAGAGGGAGAAAATAGAGCCTTTGATGTTCTCTGATATACAAAGCACATGTCACCTCTCTGAGCTGGCAACTTGCTTCATTAACTTGAGCTATAGTATGTGGAAAGAAGCAAATACTAGACAGATATTCAAAACCTACTGGAGATCAGGATTCTGCCTCCCTGGAAGACAGACATCCCAGGCAGAGGATATAATGCTCTCTGAGACCTACCCAGGAAATTGCTTTCCAGTCCAGTAACAAGCCAAGCCTCCTCTCCCCCGCAAAAAACCCCAGCAGACACACATTTTCCTCATAATGCAGGAAGAACAAGATGGGTACTTTTCAAAATGTTTTTTAATTAAAACCAAAAAAAGGAGCACACACCAGAGCTTGAGATGGGCTAGCTGAAACTGCTGGTCATCGGGACGCTGAACTGGCATGAGGAAGGCTGTGTTTCTGCATAACTCAGGAGCGCCGGCGTGGACACTGGGCTCCCAGGAAAGCACTCTGCCTGCCAGGCTACTGCTGCTTTGCGCTGAGCAGATCTCTCTCATGTGGTGATGGGAAACTTCATCCTGGAGCCCAGACTCTTTTTCCAACAGACAGACAGACAGAAGTCCCGGTGATTGGAGAAAAGAGACCATTTCAATGAATCTGCATTTTCCAAGCACGTCTGGAGAGGATTCCCAGTTGGTTCTCCTGCCTCCCCTGGCAGGTTACACGTATTTAAATGGAGACTCATCTTTGGCAATAACCACACTGTTAGGACCCAGTTCTGCTTCCGCTGAAGTCAATGCATGTCCTTCCCCGGACCATAACCGTAGCTGCACCAGGGCTCACGATCACCAGCCAATTGTGCTTTAAAGTTAAATCCTCATCCACTCCATCTAGCCAGCAACTTCTGAGAGCTTCTTCAGGCTCATATAAGTGTGTACCAGTAAATTCAGGTAAATGTGAACATCTTGGCTACAGCAATGGGGTGAAGTTTTCAAATATGCCCAAGAGATGAAGGAGTCAAAGTTTTGTTTTAAGACATGACTTGGGCACTAGATCAGGTATTGAAACCTCCCTGACATCTAAAATAAAGCAGTTTCCAAAGCTGCTGGTATGTTGCTCCACCAGCCTGGTTTCTTTACCAGAAAGGCTGGGCTAAAAAAGTGACACATTTCTCATACACAATTTTTATCTGTTAGAATTTACTAGATATGCACCTCATTTGTCTGTCAAATATTTAAAAAATACTTCAACCTGCTCTAATGATCACATTTTAAAACATGCATCAAGTTTGGATCAGAACAGCTTCTCTGGGATAATCAGTAAGCCCAAATTGCTGATTTAAGGCCTAAATATCAGTCACTGGCCAGCCAGCCACAAAAAGCCACCCTATCCTTGAACTCTCGGAATTATTTTTGGTTCAGACTAACCCTTGTTACCATACATCTTATCCTACACACAAAAGGAAAGCGTATGTGTTTTTCAAGGCTACTGTTGCACCACAAGTTTACATACAAACACAACTTCTGCAAACATGAGACCAAAGTAAGATCTCACGTGTCCCAGGGTAAGTCAGAAAGTCCACAGGAGTCAAGGGAATGGCAACTGCCATAAAGGATCAGGCCTAATACATGCATTACAGAAGCAAGGTAGCTCCTTTGCTTGAGGTCTGGCCGATTCACTTTGCACATACCACTGCTTTAGCATTACATCCTTATCTAATGGTAAACCTGTTTCAACAACATGCAATACATATTAATGCAATATGCACTGCAACACACAATACGCATCCAAAGAAATATGCCAATGCAAAAATCTGACTTCTCACACATAGCAGGGCTAACAAGGAAGAGCCTTTTACAAAAAGACAATCAAGAAATCACCTGAAACCACGAGACCCGAGGGGCCTCAAGCAATCTGCAATACTGAGACCTAATAACAGATGCTAATTCATGAAAGAAACACAAACAGTGGGACTGAGGTAATGGCAGAGATTTCATTAGTGCAATTAACATTTATAATGGTATGTTCTTTAATAGAATTTAAATAAGGCTTTGAATAATTACACACACTAAAACTAACATTCCATAACCTTATTCCTCATGGAAAAGCAGCAGAAACAACCCTCTGGACTGTACAAGGTCCAATTATGAACAATTACATTCAAAAAGTAGATCAAAACAGAAACAAC